AGCGATACAGACAAGCGCGGAACAGACAAAACTTGGTTTTCCGAAGCGTCAACAGGAAGACCGAGATCGCGAGGCGATGGAAAATCCTTACCGCGTAAACGACACACGGAAGTTCTACGAGAAGCTAAATATGTGCAAGGACTTGGACGGTAACCTTCTCACGAACGAGTGTGAGGTGATTGAGAGGTGGAAGCAGTACTATGACGAGCACCTCAACGGTGAAGCAGCAGAAAACGAAGGTGGCACGGCAACAGACCTTGGAGCACGCGCAGAAGACGACAGGCTACCGGCCCCTGATCTTCAAGAAGTTGAGGAGGAGATCGGTCGGCTGAAGAACAACAAAGCAACTGGTGTAGATCAACTACCATGTGAGCTATTAAAATACGGTGGTGAAGCACTGGCTAGAACGCTGCGCTGGGTAATTGCCAAGATTTGGGAGGAGGAGATATTACCGGAGGAGTGGATGGAAGTTGTCGTATGCCCAATCTACAAAAAGGGCGACAAGTTGGATTGCTGCAACTACCGCGCGATCACACTGCTGAGTGCCGCCTACAAGGTACTCTCCCAAATTCTGTGCCGCCGTCTGTCACCATTTGCAAGAGAGTTCGGGGGGCAATACCAGGTGGGATTCATGGGTGCCCGCGCTACCACGGACCAAATTTTCGCGATTTGGCAGGTTCTGTAGAAATGCCGCGAATACAACGTGCCCACACATCATTTGTTCATCGATTTCAAATCCGCATACGACACAATCGATCGAAATCAGCGGTTGGATCGAGTGATGTGCGTTGTTCGAGTATCGGGGACACTCTCGAGTCCCTTTGAATCTCGAAGGAGGTTACGGCAAGGTGATGGACTTTCGTGTCTGCTATTCAACATCGCGTTAGAAGGTGTGATCAGAAGAGCTGGGATTGTTACCGATCAATCACCGCCAACAATGGATTTGAAGTCGATTGGCTATGTACAGTTTTTGTGAATATGATATTTAACTGTAGGTAGCTAGTTTAGTTATAAATTCAAAACTTTAAGGTAGGCTCATCGGATAGTTAAGTTTCTGTGTTTAGTATTATATTATTTTTGCCAGTTTATCTTGGTTTTGTTTGTTAATTTATGTTTAACATAAATATTTAAACCCAGTTAATTAGTTGACCAGCAAATGTATATAATTATTTGTAAGGCTTCGCATGTAGTCATAAGCATTAAGTATAAAAAATAACAAGCATAAACCGCGCTTGCGTCATTTGTCGTTTGTGCTCCCTGTAAATAAAAACAAAATACGGCAAAGTCCGCACTAAATTTTAAACCAAAAAACACTACTAATCAACCCACCGTGCGCAAACGCAAAGCACAGTTTACATCTCCAACGGGCGAAATGGGAACGTTTGTCTATTTCCACCCTGTCAACGAGAGAGTGAGAGAGAAAGAGGGAGAGAGTGAAACGAGAGAAAGAAGGAGATATGGCCTAGGAAAAGCGCAGGGCGACAAGAAAGGACGCGACGATCAACCGAAGTAGACGCTTTTTGAGAAGTCCTGAAAAGAAAATTTTATTAGTTGGAAAAAAAACGTCCGGGTGGTGTGTTCGGAGTCTCGGAGAGATATTGACGTGGGAGTGTCCGGAAAAAGGCCAACGGGTCGTGACGGCCGAATCAGGTTCATGGAGCCGGGAGATTTGTGCAAAGCCCAGATCGGGTTGAAAGTGTACCACGCGGGAAGTGCCAGTGCAGTGTAGCCGCAAGCCTCTGTCGACCGAAGCAACCTGTTGGAAGAGCCAGTGACGCCCAGAACTTTGTCTGGCCGAAAAAGACCACGTGGGAATATCGGGACCGTGGCTGAACGTACCTCCCAGACGGAAAGCAGATCGATCGGAGAAGTCGAGATTGATGTTGACGTTCCTTTCCCGTACCACGTGGGAACTCCAATCTCGAAGAGCCTCGACATCGACGGACGGGTCACAGGACCTTGGTTAAGGTCAAGCAAGTCTCCTTTTCCGGGAATCGACGCCCTCCTGGTCATCCGTTCGGATTCAACCCCAAGTGCAGGTAGCCTGCCGAGTCCCGCTTGCCAGTGCTTGGAACCGATGTGTCCCCCCCCCCTTCGTGAGTACCCCTCCAACAAGCAAGCCGGATCAGGTATGTCAGCAGAAACACTCTCTCTCGCACTTCAAGCATGTGAAGGGCCCCACCAGCAGCTGAACCGATACCTTCTCCCTAAAATTCCCTCCTTCCCTCGCCCCTTATATGTCCTGAATAAAATGTTAAAATAAATTTGTGATGTTTATTCTTAAATACTAGAGCCTTAGGTTTGCATGCGAGTCCTCTTCTAGTCGTGATTGATTTGGTTGGTTGTCCGCTTTGTTTGCCTGAAGTACGTGGGAAGCCGACCCAGGATTAAGAGTAACCCTGAGCTAGCCGTTACTTACAGGATAGACACGAGTGGCACGATCTTCAGGAAGTCCATCCAGCTTCTTGGCTTCGCCGATGACATTGACATTATGGCACGGAACTTTGAGATGATGGCGGAATCGTACATTCACTGAAGGCTGAAGCTAGGCGGATTGGACTTGCCATCAACGCATCAAAGACAAAATACATGAAAGGAAGAGGTTCTAGGGAAGACAATGTTAGCCTCCCACCCCGAGTTCAGATTGACGGTGACGAAATCGAGGAGGTCAATGAGCTCGTGTATTTGGGCTCACTGGTGACCGCCAGTGAAATTCAAAGACGTATTATTACAGGGAATCGTGCCTACTTTGGACTCCGGAGGACGCTCCGGTCGAATAAAATTCGCCGCCGCACGAAGTTGAGGTTCTTCAAGATGCTGATTAGACCGGGGGGAGTTGGAGGCGAACCAGCCCAAGGCTGAAAGCCTCCATAATAAAGATAAATTAATTAATTAATTAGACCGGTGGTCCTCTAAAGCCACAAGACCTGGACTATGCTCGATGATGTTTTCGAACGGAAGGTGCTGCGTACCATCGACGGTGGAGTGCAGATGGATGACGGAACGTGGAGGAGGCGAATGAACTGCGAATTGCACCAGCTGCTAGGAGAATCATCCATCGTCCACATTGCAAAAATTGGGCGACTACGGTGGGCTGGGCACGTTGTAAGAATGCCGCACTACGACCAAGTGAAAATGGTTCTAGAAAGCGACCCAACAGGAACAAGAAGAAGAGGCGCGCAGCGGGCAAGGTGGATTGACCAAGTAGAAGGCAATCTGCGGACTCTTCGCAGACTACGAGGCTGGCGAAGTGTGGCCATGGATCGAGTAGAGTGGAGACGACTTCTTCGGACAGCAGAGGACAACAAGGCCTTAGCCTGATTGGTAAGTTAAGGAAAATTTGTTTCATTGAATTACCGTTTGTAGTTTATTTTTCATCGCCATCCAAAATAAGTCCATTTCTGTTAATGCATACGTTAGTATCCAGTCTCAAACAGGGGCACAATCATAAAAGTCCGGAGTGTTTTGAGATTTGGGCGTAATTGCTTTTGTAAACAAACGCTTCAATTGACTATTTCTCGCGAGTAAAAGCTCTCTCCACCATTGGTGTGTACATTTTCCCATCGGCCGAGCAGGTAAACATAACCGTTATGTTATTCTTCGCAGGACCACGATCAACTTTGTAGACAATTCTTTCACCTCGCATGGCGATCACCTTATCCAGAGCTGGTTCGAGATAGAAACTTGATTCATCGCCATTCAAGACACACTTTGCAGTTCGTAGAATTTCTACAAGGTCCTCTTCCAGCAAAATGACATAGACTTCCCGGAACCACGTCCTTATGTGTTGCTCACCAACATTGGCACTCGCGTTAGTGACACCTTCCGGCTTCCGTATTGCAAGCTCCTTGTGTCGGTTCTGGAAACTTTTAAGCCACGAGCTACCTACAAAGCAATGAAATGAATGAGATTTATTATACTTAGATAGGGGAAATGGATGTAATGTCGACCTGAATGCCCCTAATTTGGGCCCATTCAGCAATCGACTACTTTTTCAATAGCTACCAAAAATATCCATTAGTACCGTTTCAATGATGCGTTCATCTAGATACAATTGATAAATATCAGATTTTTAGCGATGGGCCCATTCTTAGATCCATCGGCCAACATTAGAGCCATTTCCCCTACTAGATGGTTCGATTGAATTTTCATACTTGGCTTGCCCGTTCTGAAGCAGCCTCTTTCGGGATTCTTCTCGATGAAACTCATTATGGGTGAAGATGCTATTTTCAAATAACAGACTAGAGTGGTAATTTTTATACGATAGATGAGGAGATGAAAGTATATTGTTGATAGTTCCGTTAGAGTACGGCAGTGTGAAATTGTATATATGTAGAGAGTAGAAAGCGAGCAAGGACAACTTTTTATGAAGGTACAAATCGGTTTGATCATCTCTCTTTACCAAACTCCCCCGTTGAAGAGGGATGGTGAGGGGTATTTTAATGTTAATGTGATTGTGGACCAAAATACATCCGTTACCCTATAAATCACCCATGAAAACATGTCTGTGATAGTACTATCTTAAACGTGGCACTTGTTTGTTCAGACGCACTCTCAGAAGCTCCGGGATCGTAGACCTTTTTCATATGTTTATGTTTCAGGCACTATGTCTTATTTTCTCAAGATCCATAAATAAGATCAAATTATATTCGGAATACGATCCATTTTGTTTCTGCATCCTAAACAATCGAACGGTTACCCGTTCTATGCTCATTTTCAATGCCCTATGAAATGAACTGTGAATGAAACATCGAAGAGTTACGTTGAGCTTCGCGGGCCAAAAAAACCGGTCGTGATTCCAAGCTCCTATCACAAAACGAGAAGAGCGTAATTCATTCGCAATCGCTCTTTTTGCTCTTTTAGTACGAGAGGATCAGCATAGCGGTGAACACTGACCTAGGCGGCAAATTAATCCCTCCCTCTAGGAACTAGATCTACTGATGGCCGGTTTAACAGTCGCGTTTCAACATTTACCCCAAACGGATCACATCGTCGCTACCATGTGTCCATTGAAAAACGTTTACACCTTCTACGATCCATCCACCAAGATTTGGAGCGGCCTACCGAGGAAACCGATCTTCAATCCCCAGCAGGGCATAGGTGATCTGATTCTGCAGATTCTGGAACGAAATGCCGACAAGGTGGTGCAAATCAGTGCCGATAGCGGTGTGGAAGTGACTGGCGCTGAAATGCGTCTCCGAACGATCCGTATCGCACAGAATCTGATCCGAATGGGCTACGGCAGCGGAAGGCATTCGGAGGACATTTTCACCATGATCGTTCGAAACGGGGAATACACGGCTCCAGTGTTGTTTGCTTGTTTCGCTCTGGGTATTCCTGTGAATACGTTGGATCCTTCGTTTCAGCGGGATGATTTGAGTCACATGTTGGAGACAGTGCAGCCAAAGCTGGTTTTCTGCGAAAGTGAGATATTGGAAGAACTGATTGCTGCCTGTGATTTAGCGAACGTGTCACCGAAGATCATTGTGACGGAGGATCACATCGATGGGTACGATCACGTGAAAAGTCTACTGGAATCGACTGGTAACGAAGCAGCTTTTGTGTAAGTTTATTGCATGTTGATCATGATTAACAATCTCAAGAAAACCTTTTCTCTTCCAGTTCGGTCCCGATCGCAAACCCCACTGTGCAACTCGCGGTCTTGCTGTGCTCCTCCGGCACAACGGGTCGTTCGAAAGCCGTCTGCCTATCACACTCGATCTGCATTGCCCACTTGGCAAACTTCTTCCAGTGTAATCCCAGCGATAGGACCCTGGCCTTCAGTACACTCTATTGGCTGTCCGGGATGTTCACTCTTCTGACCAGTACGGCTTGGGGTGCCACCCGGATCATCACCCGGCAAACCTATGACGCCGAACTGACACTGGAGATTATCGAACGCTTCCGAGTATCGGCTGTCGTTCTTCCATCTTCGCAAGCGCTAGGCGTCGTCAACAGTCCAAACGCAAATGTCAAAGCCCTTCGTAGCCTCCGCTTTTCATTCACCGGTGGTAGTATGATTCCGGTTTCGTTGAAACGATCCTTCGAGCAGCTGATCCCCGGAAGGTTTCTGGAGGTGGTGTATGGATTCTCGGAAATTGCCTTAGCAGTGACGTTCACTAGGGAGGAATTCTATCGGGACGGTTCGGTTGGTTTCCCCGTAGCGGGGACGGAGTTCAAGATCGTTGATGACGACGGACAAGCGCTGGAGGTCGATCAAGAAGGCGAGATCCTCGTGAGGGCGGAGTACGTATTCGGGGGTTACTTTGGAAACGAGGATGCAACGAGGCAAATTCTGGACAGCGAAGGGTGGCTGCATTCCGGAGACATTGGCCGATTCGATGAGGACGGTTATCTGTACGTGGTGGACCGGAAGAAGGATATCATCAAATGCAGTGGCTTCCAAGTTTCACCTAGCGAAATAGAGAGTGTAATACAGGAAATGCCCGGAGTGGCCGCGGTATGTGTAGTGGGCATCCCAGCAGAAGTATTCGATCTGGCTACGGCGTTGGTAGTGAGGAAAGGTTCGGTTGAGTCTGAGGTACCGGATTCGGCCGAGATTGCCCGAAAGGTGGAAGAAGCGCTGCCTTGGTATAAGCACTTGAAGGGAGGAGTATATTTGACAAACGAGCTTCCGCTGACACCGTCGGGAAAGGTGATGAGACGATCGGTACGGGACATTGTTTTACGAATCAAGGACGGGAAGGGTAAAGAGAATTAAGAATATAACATATATATGTATACGATGTATATGATCCACGGTTCTCTAAAATAAAGAATATAAGCCTAGTTAAAACAGTAGACTGTGAAAGAAACTCTGAACTTCCTCGAAGTTCTCTTGACTTCCCTGAAATTTTCTTCTCAAAGTTCCCACCATTTTCCTGGAGCTAATAAAACTGCTTTGAAGTTCATTGAAGTTTTCAAAACTACTACACTGCGAATGAGAACAACCTAAATTTGAGTTTAGTTAACTCATATATCACATAAGGTGTCAATTTTCCTCATTTTCAGGCAGATTTTTGAGGAATCCTGATGAATGTGGGCGTCTTAGTGGAATACTTGTATAATTAGAGAGAGAAGGATTCGTATTTTCCATTTAATTCCACTACTTTATTTGCTTATCCTTGACAGATACGCGTATTTCGTCTACAATGTGCGGACTTCTTCAGTGTCTTGTACTAATACTCGTTGAAAAATGCACGTTGCTATGATAATAAAATGGTCACCGATTGCCTGCGAAATGCGCTTTCCCTAACACAGATTTCAAAATTGAATTCCATCCGGTCTCAATGAACGCTATTCATTCAATCACCACGTGTAGTACACAACGAAAGGCTCCCCGCAAGCAGCTAGTAGCTATCAAGGCTGCCCTCAACCGCTGATCAGATTCAGTTGCTCGTCGTGAGCCGCTGTAGGCCATCTATGCCGAGCGCGTCACCCTCGTTCCAAACAACATACAGCTCGTCAGCCTCATCCGTGCAACCAAAATTCTCGCAATTACCGAATACCGAAAAATTTTAGTAAGAAATTTCTTCAATCAATTACGCTTTTTTATTATCTATTGAATAAATCAAAAGTTCTGTGCGTTTTGTGCACAAAAATGTGTAATTTTGACAACAGAAAACGAGGCGTTTCCGTGATGAGAAAAGTGGTTTCTCTAACACAGTCGCCGAATATTGATACCAAGCACTGAGCAGGCCAGAATGTACCTATGTTTATGCCTTTTGATGCAAACTTTAAGCCGCTCCTATTAAGAGTATTATGCAATAAAATCTTGCCGAATCCTCTTAATAAAAGAGACTTAAAATTTCATTTCCGCACCGCTATCATCTCCAAGAACATCGAGGACAAATTTCCATAGCATTGTTTTAAACTAGCTTCCAAACTCCCTTTTTCCATCGGTCCTTTTCAGAACCACAAATGACTGATAAAGAGTAAGAGCTTGAATCCAAGCCATATCGTCCAGGATTGGCTTGTACTACATGGACATCGACCGAGTACCTCACAAACAGAACTCTCAAATTGCTTCCGAATTTCAACCTATCGAACTTTTTCACTGATAACGAGTTACAATTTAATATATGCGATACTTATGCTGTGACATCAAAACTACCTTTGGTAATATCTTGGATACAACCTCTTACTTTTTCTTTCATCTGAGTAGAAGTGACTCTCTCTCTCTCTGAGTTAGTCTCATCGGCCGTGTACTGATGTAGATGGATAATTTCAGCGCAGACACAGTTTTGCATTATCATCATCTGTTGGCATCGCAACAATAGCAATCTGCCCCAAACCAAATATCGGAGGGTAGGAGGGTACAATGTGCAAAAAAACTGAAGATATTTTTTTATATCAGCTTCGTCATGGTTTCATTTTAATCACCGTCATCTTTTCCCATCCTGTTATCATTTCAAATAGTGTGCATTAGGGTGGGTCTAGTTTGTATGGTGGATCGCAACCCCCTGTTCCCCACGGCTCTTCCGATGTGTATTGAGGTCCCCAAGAACGGTGCCAAATTTGAAAGAATTTGGCTATGATCTGGATTTGCGGGAGAATTTTAAATGTTGTCCTCGATCAATTTTGATATACACTGTATATGAGCTTGTAAGTACGTGTAGCGTAGAACACTTCGTCAAAAGTGAAAGATTAGTAACTTTTTGCACAAAGATCAAATCAGTGCCAACATTTCAAGGGGGCGTAATTGCATTTGTAAACAATGAATTTAGCCGTCAATTTCTTGCGAATAAAAACTCACTCATGAAAAATAATGACACCAACAGATAGAGGATTGTTTCCTCTACCAGCTAGCATTGTTATTTTGGAGGGGTGAGCTTTTAATCGCGAAAAATTGACGGCTAAAGCCATTGTTTACAAAAGCAATTACGCCCCTTTGAAATGTTGGCACTGAAATAGATTTACAGTCTTGGACAAAGTTGATTTCTATAGTATCCATGAAACTTGTGCAATATTTGGATTTTTGGTAAGCAAATGAATAAGCATCGTTCCGTTTCCCATACAAAATTTAAAATTCTTTCGCAAATGTAGATTGCAACCAAATTCGTTCAAATTTTGCACAGTTGTTGGGGACCTCAATAAGCATTAGAAGAGAAGTAGGGAGCAGGGGGTTGTAAAGTTGGCCCACCCTAGTGTGTATGTTTTGTCATGTGTGGAATTTAACCAGAACAGGGGTTTTCAGATTGTGCTTCGCCGAACATAGATATAAGCGGTGTTGCGAAAATCTCATGCTTGTGATATACGCCTACGAGTTTTGCCTTGAAAATTTCAACTCCGCAAATCAACTCAAATTTGAGTTCCGTTGACTCAAATTCGCTAAAACCACGGGTATTCATAGACTGAAGACAATTTTCCTGACTAAATTTCACTCATATTCGAGCAAAAATCATGCTCGAATAGTCAATGAGTAACCGTGCGGCTTAAGCGAATTTGAGTGATCGGAACTCAAATTCAAGTTGAATTCTGAGGCCATGTGGACATCCCATGAATTGTAGTTTGAGCAGTTGTGACTTTTGGGTTGGATAGAATCAATGCTTGGCGTTGTTAGTGTTAATGCGCGAAAATGCATGAGAATATCAAACAAGAGATGTCCGGATTGATTCTTAGGGCGCATCTGCTTTTGTAAACAATGACTTCAATCGCGAATAAAAGCTCAATCTCTCAAACAAACTATGTACGCATTTCGCGCCAAATCGTATAAGAGCTGGCAACACCCTCTCAGATTTCAATTAAACTTTCTGGATGTGTAGAGCTTTACTTTGCCACTTAGTTTTTCCAAAATGTATCTACACATCAAAAAAATATGAATTTTAATGTTCCATGCATGCCAAAATTGAAGCATGTAAACTTCCTTTTTACGTAAACTACCAACTTGCAAGAAATATTGCTTACAAAGATGGATGGTTGCGTACAATATTTGGAATATTTCATTAAATGACTGATAAATTTACACGATCTGTAATGTGAATTTGTATGAAATGTGACGCTCCATTTATGTGCATCATAGTGACAGAAATTTTACACTACTTTTTCGAACTGTGTAGATTATCATTTGAGAAGGGCGTTTCTGTGTTTGTAGTGTTTTCTGTGTATTTTGTCTGTGCGATATTCAATATCGGTTCAAGGGTACATCGTTTTGCGCTCCCACTGGCAGGATCGCGTGTTCTTTGATATTGTCTCCTACGGACATTTTTAAGAGGGATCAAGAGCTGAAGATCGTCGTCTATTATAATTTAATAGAACTTAACCTCGCATTTTGGTACTGAGGCAGCTCTTGCTTGAACTATAGAAGTATAGTAAGAGATTCAAGAGCATAATTAATTACATCTTTGGTTAGCAAAGGAATGTTTTGGTCGAAGCTATATTCCATAAATGATCGATATTGCTCCCAATCAGCTCTATGGTAATTGAAAGTAGAGCTGTTGGGATTAGAAATTATTTCTTGGGATATTTCAAAAGTTACTGGAAGGTGATCAGAACCGAACTCAGCATGGGTAACCAATTGGCTACAAAATTGACATGAATCAGTTAAGACCAAATCAATAGTTGAGGGATTTCTTGCTGAAAAAGCATGTTGAATAGTGTAATAACGTGTAGGACAATCTTCAAACAGAATGTTACCATTGCAATTGCTTTGAGCATTATTCCATGAGCTTTGAGCATTATTCCATGTTTTGCATTAAAATCACCAATAATGAAGAATTTTGACCTATGGCGGGTAAGTTTCTGAAGGTCACCCTTGAGAAAATTCTTTTGCTGGCCTACGCATTGGAATGGCAAATAGGCAGCTATAAACGTAAATTGTCCAAATTTTGTCTAGTCCTTTCATGACAATCTTGAACAAACGTTCGGTTTTGGTGCCGTAAATAAAAAAAAATATGCTGCTTCTCAGTAAGATTCTTGAGAAGACATTTGAATCCGTCGGATGTTTCAGTCACCCCGACGTCCAATTCGCAATGAAATCTTAAATTTCACGAAGTTCAAAAGAAGAGCATGGAAATCGGAAGTGGTTATCACAGTAGGGGGAATCTTTTCCTTCTTGGAATTAAGCCGGGTGTACTAGAATTTTTCCTGGACGATGGATCATTCTCATTATCCGTGAGCAAATCAAATTGATTGCTAAAATTAATTTCATCAGATGGAGGATCAGGAGATTGTCCTTTTCTTTTGCGCTTAGGCGCCTTGGCGTGGCAGAAAAACTTTTATCCAAATCGACTTTCAAGCAGATTACTATAAGAATCTGAAGGATCGAAGAGTAATCGCCTAACTTTAGGTATATTCCCAGCAAGGAATTATGTGTCGTATGAAACGCACTACCTTACTAGGAGATGAACACCATATTTCAAAGGGCTGTAGTAGTCCCTTGTCAAAGAACTTTACCCTTCTGTTAAGAAATGCTGCACAGTTGCACAATAAATGTTCGGAGATTTCTGTTTCCTCGTTACAAAACCGGCAAATATCATCTTCAAATTTTTTAATAAGTCTTAGATGATATTTGGCTGTGCAGTGCCCTGTAATTAGTCCTATGTAAGTACATAGGTCTTTCTTTGATAGACTAAAGAGTATTTGTGTGTTTGATGCATTTGGCATCACAAACTTTCTTGATTGTCGGACTGTAATCATCTTTTTCCAGTTCCATAATTCCATCATGATGGAGCTTGGAGAGGTCCTAGAAATTGTTTAGATGATCCTTGTCTGGCTAGTTCA